AGGTGCTGAGCGGCCAGGACTCCGAGGACCACAGCAGCCTGTCTGAGGTGAGAGCAGCCGTGGAAGCCAGGACTTCTTGGGAAGCTGCTCTGCTCCCTTCCCGCCCGCGGCGCTGAGCTCAGCCGGGACACTGCCACAGGTGGCAGCGTGGGGACTTTGCAGAGGGCGTGGCTCCCCAACCCTTCTCAACTTCCCCTCCCGAGGACGGGGGCTCTAGGGGAGCAAGAGCCCAGAAATCTGTGCGAGTGGGAGTGCGGGTCCCGGGGCCTCCTGCGCCCCCGGGCCCGACCCCCAGCTCCAGCTGGAGCAGCCAGGGCTCTGCCTTTGGAGCCGGGCGAGGCCGGCGGCCTTGGTGGAAGGAGCCCTTTCCTGGATCGCGGGCTGGCCTTGGTTGTGGGGTGTGAGGTCCAGACCCGACCTTATGAGTACTGCTTAGGTAGTAGTAAAACTCCGGGAACACCTGGTTCACGGGAACCTACTAGGTCCCCGAGTCTCCAACGTCCATTCCTAGACTATAGATTCCCAGTCACCCCCCGGTGACTGCCAGAGTGCTTGTTTTATTAGCAGGACTTTGATGGCTTTGAAACCTGCCTAATAAGGTCCTGTGCTCCAGAGCCACTTAGAACGTCTTATTTTAGATGCTTTTGGAGTTTGCTTGCATTTTCCTTTCTCGAAGACGAAATAGCGTTTTACTTGATGTATCTTTAGCCCCGGTTTCCCTTTCTGTGAAACAAGGGTGTTGAAAAGATGATATGGCCCTTTCTTCTTGGAAACTTGAGTTCCTCACTGATACTTAATCGTGTTCCTTGTGTTTCCCCCAACATTCTGCTCTCACTTTTGTGGTTGATTTTGTTCCGAGTTGAGTCTTTGCAAAAACACAACTGCACCTCAAATGGAATAAGAGTTTATTTTGAAGCCAGCTACTTGAGACCATGGCCCCAAGACAGATTTAGATTACAGCAGATTCAGTGTTCAAAAATGATAACAGTTGGATAGGTGTTTTTTTTTTTATAGTGACAGAACAAAATAATAAATCAAGGCATTTGCTAACTGTATCAGTGGAAACACTAAGGTGGTTACAGTAAGGTGGAGGACTGTCAGGTGGAGGTCCTCTCTAGGCTGTCTGATGCTACTCTAAAACCCTTGATTTGTGGAAGCTTGGGTTGTGTTAAGTTAATGAATTACAAGATTTTTTTTACCTGTTAGTCACAGGTGGGCAAGAAACGACTGTTTAGGGGCTAAAGATAGTTCAAGGATAGTTGCTATTAGACTCTGGACCTGCACCCTTTCAGCCTCTCCACAATCATTAGAATTAGAACCAGTAATTTTTATGTTTTTTTAAATCATATTTTAATGTCTGGCCTCTTGTGAAGCCTAAGAAAGCCCCCTAGACTTAGTCGAGCCTCAGTGTCATTTAAGTTAAACTCCATAGAAGTCAGCAAGCTGTTCTACAAAGTTGGAACTGAAGGGAAGACACAGTGTTGGCTGTGAGGTGTGCATTTGTAGCAGTGGGTGGGCCTTCAGGAGGGACTGGTGCAGCACCATTTGAAAACATATGCAAAGTCTCAACCCCTCTCCCAGCGGTGGAGCCTTGTGGAAACAGGGAAGGCTTTAATTTAACCTCTGAAGCTCAGGCACATATTACATCTATTTTTAAAACACTGTAGGCTTCACTCTTGTTTGAAAACACTGTCAGTTTCCTCTTTCCTAGTTAAGATTCTTGTAGATGTGCGTCATTTCCAGGTCTTGAACTCCAGGATCTATTCTGTAGTCAACAGGGTCCCGCCTCCTGTTAAAGTACTAACTAATGTGGTCACACTTTCCAAGTTTTGAGCCTGGAAAAACTGGAGGATTCTGTGGGGAAATTCCTGTTTGTGTGGTTAGCTGGATGAAGTCGCCTTCAAGTCTTCTCAGTTATATAACCCGTAAGACATTGCCAGAAAAGTTAGAAAACATTTTATAATTTATATTAGTGCCAACTGTAAAGTGTGTTTTGTTCCTGCCTTCCCTCCTAGGTAGCTGTAAAGTTGGCAGGATTCTTAGTCACAAGTCTGTGATGTCTTCTAATTGACACCCCATCATCATAAACACACTTAAGTCCTAGTTTCAGTGCAGTCCTTTCTGAAAGAATAGGCTTTGTGTTTTCTGGAAAGGGTTCTTGGGACAAGGAAGGTCTGAAGGGTGTCCGATCATAACATGTAGGAATACAGCAGCATTCCTTTCTCACCTCCTTAGCTATGGTGTTTGGCAAGAATCCCTCTGCCTTCTCCATCCTGGAGTCAAAGGGACCTTTGTGCATGACTGCCAGCCACACGGCTCATAATTCCCCACAGGTACTGTTTTACCTGTTTGGATTTTGGAAAAAAAACCTCTGTGTTAGCAGAGTTTATAGAAACTGCAGCTTAGAGAGAGAATTTTCCATCGACTGAATTTGCTTTCATAAATTGACAAAAGGTATTTTCCTTTCACCGAGTTCTTTTAGAAGAAGTAGAGCAAAAGCTTCCTTGTCTTCCCTTGACCAAGTGACGGAACACACCGGCAGTGGAAAACATGGTGGTGAATTATCTCTGCTCCCTACCCTGTGTCCCCGTCCCTGCTAAAGAAAAGGCAGCATTTAGATGGACTCATCTTGAGACATTTGCTGAACTCAGTGTCATTCTTGTGTCTCCAGGTAAAAAGCAGAACCATGCTTTTTGGCAGAAATGCTTTCTCTTGCCAGTAGTTTTCTTTTTCTTTTTGTTTTTTGAGATAGGGTTTTTCTGTGTATCCCTGACTATGCTTGAACTCACTCTGTTACCAGGCTGGCCTCAAACTCAGAGAAATCCACCTGCCTCTGCCTCCTGAGTGCTAGAATTGTTTGCTGCTGCCATCGCCACCACTGCCCACTTAAATAGTCAGTGCTAGTCTCCTAGTCTGAGGGAAATCGAACCCCAGCCTCCCACATGACAGGTGGGATTCCCACCATGATAGTAACGAGGAGGATGGCCATCTCTTGCCTGTGCTTTTACTGTCTACAGAGGCTTGGATCTCATGGCCTTGCTCTGACTCTGGAATGTTCTGAATGCCAAGACTTGTTCGACTTTGATTCTTTACAGTTCACGTTCCTAAACAGAGAGAGGTTGAGCTTTGAGTATGGCTGTTGATGCTGGTGACACTCAGGCAGTTTACGCACTGCTCCGTTCCTCTTTTCTTCCTGTACACGGCTTGCTTGTTTCCACCTTGGCAAGGTCTGTGCATGATTTTGGAAGAGCCGGAGTTGTTCATTTTCTTCTGCGTCTGGTGGGAAATTACATGGGTTAGTCAGAAGAGGTCTAACCTGATAGTCTAGGGTTGGGTAAAGCCTGGCAAACAGCATCCTGTGGTTACTTTAGAGCCAGAGGGAGTGGAAACAGATTCTTAAGGTGGACAGGTAGCCTCTGCTTGGAAACACAGAGCTCAGTTATCGGGTCCTAACATTGTGGTGTATGCCCTCTTCCTCTTTAATATGTATATTAAATATATGAATTATATGTTAACCATAAGAAGTGTCTATATACACATACACATACACATATATGTGGGGAGAGAGATTTTAATTACATCATGTACCCCTTCCCTTTCCTCCCTCTGAACCCTCTCAGATGTCCCCCTACCCCTTGTTCTCTTTCAAATTCATGGCCTCTTTCTTTTGTTGCTCTTGTTGTTCTTGTTGTGGTATGTATTTTACTAAATGCATGAATACCACCTGCTCAGCCTGTGTTACGTTACTTGAATGTATATGTGTTCAGGGCTGACCATTTGGCATTGGATAGCCGATGGTGTGTTGTTCCTTGGGGAAGACTGTTTGTCCTGCTCTTGGCGTTCCTTAGTTGCCTGTAGTTGTGTAGGGTTGAAGCTTTAAGTTTTCTCTTCCACATTAGCATGTCTGTTGGCGTCCTTGTTCAGGTCATGTTTAGGCAACTCTGTTAGTGATGTTTCAAGGGTGTAGCTTCTGACATTTCTAGGAGATATAATCTTATAGCAAACTCCTTGTTCCCTGGGCTCCTATAGTTTTTCTGCCCCCTCTTCCACAGTGATCCTGAGACTTAGGTGCTGGAGTTGTGTCATGGTTGTGTCTGTTGGGACTGGGCTCCACAACTCTGCGTCTTGATTGGTTGTGATTTTCTTTGATGGTCTCTGTTGCAAAGAGAAGTTTCCTTGATGAGGGGTGAGGACTACACTTATCTGTGGGTGTAAGGACAAGTATTTGGAATGTATTTAGAGATTCTGTTGCATGCCGCCTTTCTGAGGTGCTGAAGATAGAACCCAAAGTCCCGTTCATGCTAGGCAAGTACTGTACCACTGTGCTACACCCCTGGCCCATCCCATCCCTAAATGTGCCCTCTTTTCAGGCTCATACTCTGTGCCAGGTTTCTGCAGGTACTCAGTATGTTTATATGTGGCATTGCAGTGTCACAGTGACTAGGAAGTGGGGAGAAGAGCCATTTTTGATGACCTAAATACCTTTCTCCTGGGTGGAGAATAAACCTTTCCGTGCAGTACCTGTCACACCTAGGGAGCCTCTTGGTCTTCTCTTCCAGTTTCTAGTTTGACAGGTTGGAAACAGGTCATTGAGCCAGGGCCAGTCAGGCCTGAGGGAGTGCTCACCTACCTTCCTCCATCAGTTGGGTGGCAATGGAATAGGCAGCCTTCCTCGCTTTGTGAGGCTGAGCTGCCTACATAAGGGGAGCTTGGGTGTGTAAATGCTGACCTGGGTCTGCTGATTGGGTTTGAGCTCTCAGTGGCAGCTTCCTGTGTCCATCTGTGTGCAGTGATCCCTCTGCATCTTAAGGACAGTCTAGAGAGGCCCGTGGTACAGTGACTTGTCATCTTTGATATGGGAAAGGGCCATTGAGATCTTCTCTCCAGCTTTTCTGTTTTAGTAGTGTTTTCCAGGAGATTTTGGCTTCCCTTGTTCTTAACCTGGAGGAAGCATTAATCATGCTGAGGATGGTAGAGAATCAAGATGAACAGCTGGTGATTAATTGGCTGGGATCTGGCTGCCTGTGGCTGATTTGGTTGCTGCTAGCACGATGTAAGTAAGAGCAAGTAGCAGGAGTGCATCCTGGTAAATATGAGGGCCTTCTCCCTCTGGGGTCCTGGAAGTGTTGCAGCAACTTCTGTGGTTGGTAGGAGAGATAAGAGAGCATGGCCAGTGGACCAAACCGCATGAGTTTGTCTTCTCCCATGACCCAGGCACTATCTGGCAGAGCCCCGCCCTTCCAGTTGTAGTCTTGCCCTGCCTGGGCTGTAGTAAGGCTTTGGGCTATGGTAAAACTAGTACCCCTGCTGTGCTTGAAGCAGGAGACTGGATGCAGTAAACTTGTGTAAACTGCTGGAGGGAAGAGTCTGGTCTGGATAGGAACTCATAGCTGCATGTGAAAGCTAGCAGTGGATGTGTAAGCTCCATGTTTCCTTCCTTCTCCAGTGAGTGCTGGCTCCCCCCTTTCCTCCCTCTTAATTTATTTGTTTGTCAATAAGCCAGGGGTCAGCCTGCAGGACTCTTCTCCTGCTTCCTTGTGTGGTTTCCCGTGATGGAACTTAAGAACTCTGGTTGCACTCCAAGTCCCTTTACCTGCTGAGCCATCTCGCCAGCTCTAAATACCATTTCTCTTGGCCCTTTAAGACCATTTCTAAATTGTGAGTTTTCTTAGTTTTCACTAAGTGTGCATGTATGTATGTAATTTTTGTTTTGAAACTGCAGGTTGTGGAGTCATCGTCCTTAAGCTGGGGTACCAGAATAAAAGGCTTCATCGCATGTTTTGCCCTAGGAATTCTCTGCTCACTGCTGGTAAGAATTCCTTCCATCCACTGCCTTTTTCCAATTCTCTGCTGTATTCTTTTCCTTTTGTCCACTTTTCCCTTGACACTTCATTCAGTTGAATGGATAAGAGGCAGGGAGATGGGAGGCAGGGAGGGCAGCTGTGTGGCTCTGGTGGGAGTGGCATGCTGTGCTCACATAACATGTCCTGTGCTTCCCCTTCTAGGGTACTTTTCTGCTATGGGTGCCCAAGAAAGGACTGAGCCTCTTTGCAGTGTTTTATACCCTGGGTAACATGGCATCAATTGGGAGGTAATCTTTTTCTTTTCTCCTTTTCCCAACTTTGCTATTTATCCGTCATATTTGGGGAGAAGGATGCTGCATTTTCTTTAAGGAGTTGGAAAGAAGGAAGAGTTTTGGCTTATATCACATTCATACCCTCTTATTTCAAAACATCCTATACTTTAGTTGTCTTTCACCCCTGGGAGAAAGCAGAAAATCTGTGACCACTTCCTCACGTGGGAGGGAACTACAGCACAGAGCATTGGAGTGATTTCACTGAGGCACACGGTATGGCCTACCCTCCCTGAGTTGGCTTCACTGCCCTCAGAGACTGACTGGATGCAGCTGATTCTTCTAAAAGCCACCAAGCAGACGGGTGGCTGTGACACTGGGAACTGGTTATTATGTAGTGTCAAGACCATCCTGGGCTTGAGGATCAGGCTCCTGTGTCAGGGCATCTAATGGGTACTTTTCAGGGGAGGTCAGCCATTCTGCCTGCTTCAAGGGCACTGATACCCAAGTTGACCTCCTTCACCCTGATGCTTTAGCTACACCTGTGCAGACAATGCTCTGATGGGAAATTTGGCCTGGCCCTATCGGAATGAACTTGGGGAACCTGACTGGGCCATCTTCCTTTTCACTCTCCCTCCCCCATGTTTCTGTAAATGGCTTCAGAGTCCTGTGGGAAAAGGGCTCCAGGAGACCAAGTTTTCCTATGTTAACTCAGCCATAATAACGCAGTTGCTTTTGTCTTACATATATATCTTTTATATATGAATGTTTTGCCTGCATATATATCTGTTTGCCACATGTGTGCCTGGTGCCTGTGGAGGTCAGACAAGGGCATCAGATCCCCTGGAACTGGATTTAGATACAGTTGTGGATACTGGGAATTGAACCTTGGTACTCTGCTAGAGCAGCCAGTGCTCTTAACCATTGAGCCATCTCTCCAACCCCACTGTTGTCTTTCTTACTTGGCTTTCTTCCTCATCCTGGTGGCTGTTTGTCCCCACTGGTTGATTTTGGACTCATTGGCTAAGCACTGTTCCCTCTGCTGGACTCAGACTACAAAAGACAGGCCCTCTGGATCTTATTCACCAGATAATGTGAAGAGAAACTCTGAGAGGGGAGGGCCTGACAGCGGGTCAGGGACGATTTCCTAGAGAAGGTGGTACCTGGACTGGTCTGAGCTTGGTCCATCTCCTCCTTACCTCAGCTACTCCATTATACTCTGTTGGGTTTCTTCACCCCCGTCCAGGCTCTTTTCCTCTGACCCATGGAATCTTTGTGTAGATCCCCCCCCCCCCCCCAATGTGGCTCCCTGTCCCTTCCCTGCAGGTGGAATCCAAACTTGGTGCTTCTGAGCGTCTCCCAGCATCTCTCTGCTTCTTCCCAGGCCATTTTGTCTGTGGTCCTGCCTATCTCTTCGCTCCCATTTGTCATTTGTCATTTCCCAGCTTGCTAATTTGTTACATCCAGGCTCTAATGTCACCTCTTGTGGGAAGGTCTGTTGATTGCCACCTCCTTCCTGGAACTGGTGACCTCCTCCAGGGCTCCTTCCATCCCATTATCTTTATGTGACAGCACAGGTAGCAGTGACTGATGTTGCCCTTGAAGCTTTCTCAGATAGCAGCTTTTATAGGTCTGCTTTGGGCCCACAGTGTGGGGTAAATGTACAGAGCAAGCGTAATTATACAGGTATGTTGCTCACTCCAGAAGAACTCTTCAGCAGTTCTGACTGACACCATAGCGCAGCAGAGGGCAGCAGTGGAGGGCACATTGTTATTCCTTGGTGTTGCTAGGGGCTTCTGACTATATACAGAATGTGTTTATACATGTGTGCCTTGAATCTGCTACTTACTTTGTTTGTTAAAGGATCCCTGAGCTTGGAGACTTGAGCTCAGAAAACAGCTTAACATCAAAGAGGGGCAGACGTATTGTAAACAACAACAAAAGAAACAAAACCAAAAACAAAACTATGCCTTTTATTGAATGTTCGGTAGTTAATAACATCTGCTGTCACTTATATTGACTCCCACTGTTTGTCGATTGGGCAGCACATGTTATCCAGAAATTGTGACTGAAACCTGGTGCCTATCCTTGATGTGTTAGGTGTGTGTATCTGCTTCATTTGTGATCACCCCATTGGCTGGCTCTCAGGTTTCCTTCATACAAATTCATGCTAAGGGTGCCTTTAGAATAGATGTGGACTAAACACCAGCTCTTTGGACTCATAGCTCTGTGATCTCAAATAGGTAAGCTACCCTCTCACGTTCCTATCTCTGAAATGGGAACAGTAACACCCATCGCAGAGTTATTGAGGGGCTGAAATGAGTACTGACATTTAGCAAGCATTCAGCTGTGGTAGATGTTACTCTAATCGGCCTTAAAATTCCTGGAGAGTATGAAAGAAGTGTTCTGTTTTTAATGTAACCAGTGTAAAACTGTAAGGTGTGTTTTCTGTTTCTTAAATCGGAGCTCTGGGTCTGTTTCTGAGGGTAGATGGAAGTGGAGTAGCCGCTCTCAGAGAGAGGGTGCTGAGAGTGGCTCCCAGTCAGACCCACATGCACTCACGGCCCTGCTCTTATATTAGTTGGGTGACTTGGTTATGTAAGCCCTTGGAGTTTTTCTTCCTCTCTAAAATGAGTGTACTAATTGTCCCTACTTCATAGGTCCTTGATGGACTAAATGAGGGCAGTGCACAAAAGACCTGCAAGTCCAGTGCCTGGCAAGAGCCGTTGGTACTAATACTATTCCTGTTACCGCCACAGGAGCTCTTGGGGAGGTGGCTGGTGTGCCTCTGTTCTGACCTTAATGGCTTGAGTGTGTTTGTGTTTGCCTCTCAGTACCATCTTCCTCATGGGGCCCTTGAAGCAGCTGAAGCGCATGTTTGAGCCTACGAGGCTGATCGCCACAATCCTGGTGCTGGTAAGGACATACAGACTGCTTTCCCGACAGGCTTTGTAGGTGGGAGCCTGTCTTTTCTTTTCCTTCTTAATCCTGGGAATTAAACATGGTTTCATGCATTCGGGGCTTCATAAATTGTCCAGGCTAGCCTTGAACCTACTGCCTGCTTGCTTCACTCTCCTGAGTGCTAAGATTGCAGGCATGTACCGCTGGAGGTTTTTTTTTTTTTTTTTTTTTCCTCTTCTTTTTTTTCCTTTTTTCCCCCCTCTGTATCTCTGGCTGTCCTGGAACTCACTCTGTAGACCAGGCTGGCCTCGGACTCAGAGACCCACCTGCCTTCACCTCCCAAGTGCTGGGATTGAAGGTGTGTGCCACTACTGCCTGGCTTGAAAGATTTTATTTCTATCCCATCAACACAGAATATCTCTTTGTTTTTTGACCCAGTTGTCCATGTAGCTGTCAAAATCTTTCCAGACCCCATTCTCTAGGTTCCAGGCATAAGTATCAGTATTGTGAGATTTGAACTTGATCGGCATACTTCTAATTTTAGTTTAGTTTGTGGGTCTCTCACTCATTCGTACAGGGATGTTCTCTAAGGCCAGGACTACGTTTGCTATTTACTTACATCCCCCCTCTGGGTGCAGTGCTGGACACAGAGAGTGTTCAGGGCGCACAGTTGAGGAATTATAGAGGAGTGCAATGGAAGGGATGGTAGGTGTCTGCAGCAACCACTTTTTTATTTTTTTATTTTTCCAGCTTCACATGTAGATGGCCTGACGGCTCCTGTGGAAAGACTTTCTAAGGAGACATAGGGCAGTGTCAGGTGACAGGGGGACAGATAACAAGCTTCCTGGCTGTGCAACTGACATCTCATGTTGACCTTTGTTCTCACAGCCTTTTCTACTCCAGAGGCTCAGTTACAGAGAGAGGGCTGTGGCCAGCTTACTTTTGTGTCTTGGATGAAAAGATTGGTCCAGAAAGGTGCTTTCATTTGCCGACATTTAGGGGGGACTTGAAAGTGAAAGCACGTCTTTCCCTGTCCAGTCTGCATGCATTTTTATTGTTGAGCTGGGTTTCTTTTTCCAGCACGGCTGTTCAGATGGGTCAAGTGCTGTGAATCACACTGTACTAATCAGCGTTTCTTCTTCCAGTTGTGTTTTGCACTTACCCTGTGTTCTGCCTTTTGGGTAAGTGTGAACTTTAGTCTTCTGTGATGTTTGTGGTTTATATCCCTTGTCCCTTGTCACACACACAGTAACTATGTTTTTTTTTTCTTTCTTCAAGTGGCATAAAAAGGCACTAGCGCTCATCTTCTGCATTTTGCAGTCTTTGGCCTTGACATGGTAAGTAATATCAGGGTCCTTCCTCATAACCAGCCCTGCCTTTGACTTGTGGTGGGAAAGGAGAGAAAACCAGCGTGTTGTGGGTGGGAAGGTTAGGAAAACAGAAGCTCTTGAGTTGAAGAGTTGTCGGTGATGCAACAGAAGTCAAGCTTCTGAAGCCAGCCAGGTGACTCAGGCCACCCCCAATAAATGGCATTAGCGGTCTTGAGTGGTTACCAGAGGCCTCCAGCCACAGCATTTTTGCTGAACTCATGGTCAGTTGTGAGATGTACAAATATTACTCAGCTACTCATGTCCGGGAAGTGCAAGCTCAATGAAAGCCTGGTAACAAGAGGCTAGGCGTCAAATGGACACTTCCAGAGAAGGGTGCTACCCAGAAAGTCAGCGATTGCCACAGAGTGACCATTTGGGAGAACGACATCGAGGGCATGGCCAGCCAGGATGAGAGGGCAGTAGCCGGGGAAATGGAAACCCATGTGGATGTGGGGTCAGCATCCTCACTGGAGGTGGCGTGGCCTTGGGGAATTACAGGTGAAGGTTAGGAGATTATAACTAAGAAGCCAGGTATAGTAAAAAGGTGACCAGAGACATGGCTTTTTAAAATCATGAATGGAACTGTAAGTTCTTGGCTATTTAAACCTGTGTAAAACATCCAAGGGAGAGGAGTGGTGGCACATATCTAATCCGTGTGTTACTTTACAAGTTTAATCCATGAGTAATGATGTTCAGTAGAATAGTTTCAGTACAGTGTGACTGTTCTGTTTGGGATAAAACTGTCTGCTAGGATACAGAGAAAAGGGAGGCTGTGGGCATTTTAAATAAACTTCTGGTCGGTGAACACCTAGTTGGTAGAAATGGATCTTGGGAATGCAAGCTTGATCCCATCTTCCTTTTGGAACTTGGACCTTCTGAAGAAATACTCTTGTCTAACTGCCTTTCAGATGTTACCATGTTCACAAGTTAGCGAATGCGTGTGAAAAGTGGGAGGTATGGAGAAGGATGGTGACCTGATTTTAATATGGGATACATTTTGCTATTAGGTCCTACAAGGGCCTGGCTTGATAACTTGTGTTTGTACTCTGGCTTTCTTCTGGCTGTATAGTACCTACATATACATAGTTCTTTTGCAAGCCAGTTCCAAGGAGTCAGCACTCTTCTGGGCCCAGGAAAATGGGGATTCCCTTTGAACTGATTCTTAAGTCTGACCAACTTACACCCTGACTGACAGACACACAGGGACTGTGTCTCTGTCCTGCGTGACTTTCTTATAGGCAGTGTGGCTTGGGTTCTTGAAGCATTGTACCAGGGTGCATTCTCATCTATAGATTGGTAGGCAGTGGCTTTTTTTTTTTTTTAATTAGCGGAACAGATAGAGCATTGATCTCACATGGGTTGATGTTGAATTCTCTTGAGAATTTACAAAGCATTAGATCACACCTGTTGAGGATTTTATTTGCAGTTTCTGTAAATAGGACTCTGGCGCCATACGGGCATCTGGAATCTGCCCATTTTAGTTGGTTACTGCTGGCTTGTGAGGTTAAGCAGCACCACAAGCAAGGCTGGGGCCAGAGGGCTTAATGTTACACTATTTACGGGATGTGTTTAGGTGATGTGTGAGTGCATATGGGTAGAGCCTAAGGGCTTGCTTCAGGGAGTTTTCCACTCCCTCCATTCAATTTGATCTTTGCTTTGTTTTTCTTTGTAGGTATAGCCTTTCCTTCATACCATTTGCAAGGTAAGACTGTAACTATGTATTTGGAAATAGGGATTCTTCCATTTGTGAACCATGATATGTTTACATAGGACTTTTAATTTTTAAGAAAATGAATTTATTTTCATTTTAATGTGTATTTTGCCTATATGCATATTTATTTGCTATGTAGGTGCATTTTCTTGTGCAGGTTAGAAGAGGGTGTTGAATCCCCTGGAACTGGAATTAATGGATGGTCGTGAGCTGCCATGTGGGTGTTGGGAATTGAACCCGGGACCTCTGGAAGAGCAACTAGTGCTCTCTAATTGCTGAGCCATCTCTCCAGCTCCTGCATGTGGACTTTAGTTTGGAGATGTTAGTTTAGTTGCAGAAAGTACATGTTATTTTATTTGTCTTTAAAATTCTTTGATCTAGTTAGACACAGGTTGGACATCTGCTTTATAGGTTACTATGATAAGGGCCATGGTTCTCCTGATGTCATTGTTCAACTAGTAATGTGTTGGCAGACTCTGAGTTCCTAGTGTTTGGGGCACTCAGCTCTAATAGAAAGGACATTGATGCACACCACCATTCCTTTAATCTGTAGCTTTGAGATGATAACTTGACAGGTGATCAGTGTAGTGTAACTAAACAAGAGTATCAGGGTCCTTAGAGCCTGCTTGTTTTCCTACAGGGCTCACACAGGGATTGTTTTAGAAGAGTCTAGAGGGGAAGCAAGGCCAGAACTCTAGAGGACCAGCACTTCCTAGTTAGCAGTGTGAGCTTGGTGACTTTACCAACCACCAAGACCTCAGATGAGACATCGATAATTGGAGTGCGTGGGGCTGGTTCATCCCCAGATGCTGGGAGTTTGTTAATCACTTTTGGTGGGCTTTTCCCAGTTAGTCACAGGACCTTTGCCTCTGATTCTATTCTAATGAAGCCACTTAATTTCATTTTTCTCAGTCATCTACTAAGTAAAAATATTTTCCATAATCGTGTGGAGGAAATGAAAAATTGTGCAGAGGCTGGGAGAGAGGGCAGATGTTCTGTCTTATGCTTTGCAGATCTGCTGTTGCCAGTGATCTGAATGCGCTGGGAAGCAAGGCTCACAAGCTCATAGAGCGTCCCTTTGTGCATGGGAGTATAACCTTTGTGAAATACTGCCTTGGGGGCAGGGAAGCTAGCTTGCTATGTGAAATAAGCATCTAATGAAGTAGTTATCAATTTGGCAAAAATTTGACCATATCTTGTAAGTCCCTAAACTATTTACATAATTTACTGGGCCCAGCATAAAGTGACTACCCCTTAATGATCTCAGTGCGTTCTGTGATTGGCTGATGTAAAAATGCAGCAGCATGTACTAGTCCCCAGGACCAGTCTGCAGGGTAAGTGGGCACATCCCATCTGATGGATGAGGAAATTAAAACTCCAACATGAACAGTAATTTGCCCAGGAGAAAACTCCTAAGAAACGTTGGCACTACCGTTTGATGAGTGGTTTTGACCTCGATGTTTTCCCCTTTAGCAGCGTGGTCCCCTAGGAAATACTCAAGAAAGGTCTTTGCCGTTGGGAGCCCCTGGGGTGATAACGTCCCATTCATCTCTGTGTTTTTCCTTCCTAGGGATGCTGTGAAGAAATGCTTTGCCGTGTGTCTTGCATAATACACTGCCAGTCTGCAGAGAGCACTGTGGATGGAAACTGGTGGACAATTTTGTAAATACCCTCTGAACTCTGTCTCACAGACATGTGCCTTTCACTTGCAGCAATGCATTGCTTGCAATTTGGACATTTTGAGGGTTGCCCATGGGAGCAGTCCTGAATCCTAAGCCTTATCATCTGTAGCACAGTGCAAGGTTCTGGGCTAGTGTAGAGGACTCTTCCTCATGACCATCTTCCTCTCTGGATGGTATCCCACTGAGTTCTCACACATTAGTCTTTGTTTAATATCAGCCTATAAGCTGCAGGAGCACCTGATTCCCTGGCAGCAGCAGGAATGTCTAGTAGAGAATATAGGGATGCAGCAGAAAGTAGAATTTTGAAGATTTGCCCCTCACCAAGGAAACCATTATCACTGCCTCACCCAGCATCTTCCCTGGTGTTTGAGAACAAGTGAGTCTGCCCTTCCTTAGAGCCTGTCCTGAGTACATTGTTCCTTCCTGTGGACTGCACCATCTTGCTGTTCTCAATCACAACTGGCTATGGAATGTATTTTCTAGTGTTCATTGTAGATTTTTTCTCTTGCCCTCACCTTCCCATGTCTCTTGTCTTGTGATCTTGGGACACTGCTTGATTGAGAGTGAAGTAGTGGCCTAAATTACTATTTGCTTTTGGACAAGAGCCACCAGAAAGTTGCTCATGTTGCCTGCTCTGTTTATTTTTCTTCATTATTTATAAATGTTTACTTTTATTGATTTTATTTTCCGTTCTTCACTGGAGTTGGGCCAAGGAAGGTGCATTGGAAGACAGATCCCTTGTGGGACCAGCAGGGAGTAGGCATGCCTGCCAAGCAACTTTTCAATGCTCCGACATTGGCACTCAGCCTGCACTGGACACTGGGAAGACAGCAGCCTGCAGGTGGTCATGTCTCAGCCTGATGCCTAACCACACGCGCAGTGTTCTTGTGTTGGTGATCTCATCTGGTCGTCATGAGAGCCATGTATGGGAGCAGGATTGTTGTGTCACTGTACAGTCAAGGAGCCAAGCCTCAGATGGGTTTCCATGTCACCAGAAGTTACAGCTGTGGCAGGGTCAACCCAGAGTCTGGACACCTTGGTTCCAGTTTCCATCGTGATGACATGGCTCTGGTCAAATCTGCCATCATCTCTCATAACCGTTCCCTTGTTTTCATCATCCTAGCCTGTACCTTTTCTGGTTCCAGCATCTATGTCACATGTGCCATCTTCTACCTGCCCTCCCCCATCTCACTTTCTGCAAGAAGCTTCCCTCTACATCTATCGGATGGCCACCATCCCCTGCTCCCTTTCAGCTGCTCTCTGCTTCCTAGGCATCATTATTAGAGTTCCCGGTGATCTAGGATTACCCTTTGTTCTTTGTGCAAGGCCAGATGTACTCTGGCCTCTGCTTTGTCGGCTTTGGTTATGGCCAGTTGCTGCACTGTGGTTAATAACTGCCTTTTCTCCTACGATGGAGAAGAATGGATAGACAACTCAATCATTCCAGATTCTTTCCATGCTATTGAAGGCACTTGTGAGGTCTTCAACCTATCTGCAGTCAGGAAGGAAAATTATATGCTACCCTCTGGCTTTGTGAGGTACATTTATATCCCAGGAGCCTTGGAAGTCAGTTCAGGTCTCAGAAGGCCTCAGGTGTCAGAAGGGACATTGGGAGTTTAGAGGTGCCCATGGCTCCCAGCTGACAGGAGGCTAGCTAGCTGCTTCAAGCTCCAACCATCCTGGAGTAGTGCACCTAAAAGACTGACCCTTCCATGCCCTTTTCAGCAACTGGACTTGAGCCCGAGTACCTTTTAAAGATGTTACCAGGACTGAATAGCATAGCAGTGTGACTGTGGGCTTAGAAAACAAGCAGATCTGGGTGTGAGCTGTGGCCAGTCACATGTTGGTTAAGTTCTGATGTTGCCTAATGTTTGGGTCCTCCGTTTCTCTGTTTCAAAAAAAAGTGGGCTGACAAATCCTGCTGGCTCACTGGAGGATGTCAGTGCAAGATGACTGTGTCAAGTCCTTGGTATGGGGCTAAGAAGAGAGTCTTTGCAATAACTAATGACTCCTAAAGGTAACAGATGAATGCTTGGCTATTAATTTGTCTAGTGTACTGAATATTGTGTATATCACTGTAGACACTACCATACATTATCTCATTGAATGATCACAGGACTTCCAGGCAAGAGATACTGCCTTCGTCATCATAAAATAGTAGCTGCCTCAGATGCTCCCACTAGCAGGGGCATCAGTGAGGAGGCTCTAGGTGGGAGATGAAATCTTGGATAAAAGGCTTTTGAGCCCAATTCCTACAGCCTGTGGCCAATTGACTTGACTCTGGACACATTTAAGCAGCTTTGGATGACCGTCTTCCAGTATCTTCCGGACTCCCAGATTTTTTTCTTCAATTGCCTTATCCTTTGGTTGTTTCCTTTCCTGCTTTTATTAGACTGTAAAAGGAAGAAATCTACTTCAAATCTGCTAAAGTCTCATACCAGGCTAATAGCATCAATTAAAAGCAACTTTAGTGAGGGAGGCTGAAGTGGAGAATTTGGGCCTCTGACACTGGCTGGTGGTGGTGTGTTTCCTCTCCCCGCCCTTCACACTCCCCAGTTCCCTGGCTGGTGAGGGGCACCCCTGCGTGTGGGAAGTGATGGAAACTATTGAGTAGCTGTGTTTTCAGGTTTGGGGTGCCTCTGGCTTGAGTGCTGCTGCCTTCCCTAGGCTGTGGTCTGTAGAGTGCTGCACTCAGGACCATTGTGTCTTCTAGACCAGGAGTAGCTTAGGGTCCCCTTAGCTCCCCTCTACTCCAGGCTGACTATTGGGACCTGTCACTGAGTTCTGGCTCTCTCATAGGCTGACAAGCTTCCCTTTTCACAGACCAAGCCCTGAGGAAGCTTTTGTCTCTCTTGCTCCTCTGTATGGCTTCTGCTCAGACCCAACTCCAGGCATCCTGTCATGAGGAAAGATGAAATACCATTCCCAGCTCAGCATTCCCACCATGGGGATTGTCTCAGTGCTGGGGTGCCTGTATTGCTCTCATGGAGCCTTTGTGGGTTTCGTCTTCAGTGCTGCTTTCTTTCCACATAGTCACTCTAGACTGAGAGAGTAAGAAATGAAATCAAGAAACGCATTCCACATAAAAATTACTTTTTAGTGCTCAATTAAAGTAGATAGAAGCTGCGCAGTATAGGCTTTTGTTTTGACATTCCCACAAGTGACAAGTATTGTAGTATATGGAATGAGGCCTGGTGAAATAGGTTGGGCAACTAAGGTGCACCCCATGGCCGTGGATTTCCTTTCCTGTCGGCACCTTCTGCCCACACTTCCGATTTTACTCTTCCTCCTCTAACTTCTCATTGGAGTCAGTTACACACACTTGAAATTCACAACCTAGCCTAAAACTTATTTTTTGGCTAATTAAAGAAAAAAAGAAAGAGTGATCAGTGTTTAAAACAATATAAAGATGTTTGCTAGACTCTGGCGGTTTTTTTTGTTTGTTTTTTGTTTTTAATGCCCAAGTTATTTTTTTTTTTATGTTTAATATGTGCTGTAGCTTACAAATAACATCCTTTTAAAAGTAAGTGAAGGAAATTGAGTGCAAATTCACATTTGTGTAACACTTTGCATGTAGAAGTCCAAATTGCTTAGGAAGTTTTATTTTAAAGGTTGCTGAGGAGGTGATCCAGAAGTACTTGACATTTCATAATTTCATGATGCTTTGAGGTCCTGTGTGTTTTTAGGGGAGTAAGGGGGAAGTGCGGTGGAGTTTGTCTGATCTCAGCTCACTCAGGGTGGGGTACGTAGTTCCACTTTGAGTATTGCCAGTCCTGCTGCGATTGATGGGTGAGACTTGAAAGTAGCCACTGCTTAGACTTTGTCATCAGCTAGTCAGGTTTCTGTTGCAGCATGGTAAATGGTAAGTAGCAGTCTTCATTAATATAAGCTGACAACATAAAATCACATTCTATCAGGAGCTGGTAACTGACAGCTAGACTTGGACATGTACAAAGTGATTTCTTTCTTTCTTTTTTTTTTTTTTTTGGCGGGTTGGCTGATCTGAAACCAGACAAAAAATAGGTCCAGTAGATAGAAATTCTATTAGAGATGAGAGAGCGAGGTCAGCCCATGGCAACATAACAAATAAATATGCTTTGTACTCAGAATAATGCCACTCACTACATGTAATAGACTGCTTGCCTGGCATACATGAAGCCTCAGATTCAATCTCTGAAAATACATACACAGGCCATGATGGTGCATGCCTGTAATCCCAGTACTTAGCAGGTGGAGACAGGAGGATCTGGAGTATATTAGACCCTATCTTTAAAAAATTAGAAAAAAAATCAAATGAAGTCTTGTGTTTGGGTTCTTGCATATGGCTCTTGTCTGTTAAATGTCCAACTTTTTTTGCTGGCCTTTTCCATTGTGTTTGCTTAACTTGAATAAGGAAAGGGAAAAAAACAAAAACAAAAACAAAAAACTAGCCCCTGAACTCTGTCCTTTGCAATTCTATTGTGAAATTGATAGTGAGGGCATGCAAAAGCCTATGATGGAGGCACCCTTATCCTTGTGACTTTGGGCATCTGGGCACACTTCCCAGCAGTAAAACCAAATCCAAAATGCCTGTGGTGGATTTGTATGCCTTGAGAACATTGTACCTGTTCTAATACAGTGAACTTTAGAACTTTGTTAAAACAAATGAAACCATTTTTATAATTGTGTAGGTGTAGTTGATTTTGAATATTACTGATTGTATAACTGAATTTTTATATCTAAAAATACATTCTTGAGTACTGCCTTATCTGCCTTGAGGATCTATTTCATATGATATTTTCTTTTTACTAACTTATTTCAAAGAGAAAGTGTTGCTAGAGAGAGAGCTATCTCTCCTTTTCACAGTTATTTTTTCCTTTTTCTTTTCTCCAATAAATTGTAGCAGCATCATGATCTCTAACAGATCTAGTGTTGTCTCTTATCCATGTCTGTTTCTCTGGGACTCACTGAGCCAAACAACTGTAAGATGATGTCTTAGTGTGTGGTTCATATTGCAGGTATGTTAACCCCCCTCCCTCCATGTATACATATATAATTGCTATATTGTGTTTTTCTCAGACAAAGTAGAGCTTAAAATTGATCTAAGGACCACCATCATTGATTTCTTTCTTTCTCTTTTTTGAAAGATTTTATTTATTATGTATACAATATTCTGCTTCCATCTATATCTACACACCAGAAGAGGGCATCAGATCTCATAATGGATGGTTGTGAGTCACCATGTGGTTGCTGGGAATTGAACTCAGGACCTCTGGAAGAGCAGCCAGTGCTCTTAACCTCTAAGCCATCTCTCCAGCCCCTGGCATTGATTTTATGACAGTGAATACTGTCTGACAGTGTGACCAGCGACTTCATGCTATCACTGCCATGATTTCCCATCCCCTCAAACCATGAGCCAAAGCCAACTCTTCCTTGAGGAAGGTGCTTTGTGGCAGCTATTCTGTCACAGTGGCGCTAAAAAGGAACCAACACAAAAGGCAACATAGCTCTTTAAAAAATCATGTTTCATCTACTGAATCCAAAGATCCTGAAATAGGTAAGATTTGAAAAGGTCGGTAGCGGAAAAAGAATAACTCAGAAGACAAGAAATTAAGACTGGGTTCTGGAGAGAAAAGGAGAAATGTAAAGAAAAAGGTCAGCAAAATAGACAAGATCAGAAACACAGAAGGGATGGCAACAAGGAGGACATTGAAATCCTGGAAAACAAAATATTAGAAATGAAAAACTACAAAACACAAACCAAACCAACAAGCCAAAAACAGTGTAACTGTCACAGATTGAACCAAGCAGAAAAATGAATATTGGGGATGGAGGACAAGATTGAGGAAGTTCTTCATCTAAACAATGACTACAATGTCCCATGACTCAGGGTTATAATTAAGATGGCCAAACCTATGAATCTATAGGCTGGAAGAAGCATAGGTAAACACCGAAGGCATAGACTAAAATGAAGAGATAGCAGAAAATCCCCATGTCTAGAGAAAAGCATTCAAACACAAGAGATGCTTAGAAAACCATAAACATCAGAAAATAACCTCTTCACAATAGTCCAGAAACAAAAACAAAGCAAACAAATCTGTAGGGAAATCACCAACCCACCCACAAAGGCAAAGACACCAGAAGAACAGCAGCACTCTGGCCAGCAACCCTAAAAGTCAAGAAAACATGAGATGATGTATTTCAGGCCCTGAAAGTAAATATCTACCAACCAAGATTGCTATAACCAGGTGAGGGTCGTTTGAATGAGAAGCGCTCCTATAAACCCCTGTATTTGTACACTTATTTGGTCCACAGTGAGAGTGAGGTTTGGGGAGGTTTTGGAACTTGCTGGAGGAAGTATGTCACTGGGGACAGGCTTTGAGGGCTTGTAACTTTCACACTTCCTGTATGTGGAGGAAAGTGTTATTGGCTAGCTTCCTACTGCTCCTGCCATGCATTTTCAGCCATGGTGGACATCTAACCCCTTCAAGCCATAAGCCAAAATGAACTTGTTTAAATTGCTTTTGGTCACAGTATTTTATCATAGTAACAGAAAAGTAACTATCACACAACACCTTTTTCAGATGGTGGAAAAATAGGACATTTCAAGACAAGCAGAGTCTAAGGCAGTCCACTCCAGAACCAAATTACTGTACACAGAGAAGGAAGAAAATGTCAATCGTGAGATCACAGGGAAGAATAAATATCATGAGAAGATCTGATAAACAAAGGAGAGCTATCAAGGAGGCTGTCAAGTCCAACACAATAAATTAGGAAACACCCCTATAGAGAATAATGTAAAGAACAAATAATAATCCAGCCAGAAAAACATGCAGTAAAATTACAAGAATTAGTACAGCTTTCCCAATAATAAATGTAAATGGCTTCAACTTCCAACCAAGAGACATAGACTGACATGACTTAAAAACTAGCTCCAACTATTTGTTGTCTTCAAGAAAAATACTACATGAATGGACAAAGGATGGAAAATATCTATTAAAAAGGAAATAGAAGCAAAAAAGAAGCTGGAATAGACACAAGCCAAAATTAGAAGAGATAAACAAGGTTGTTACATATTAATAAAGGGGATCAAAAAGTTATAATAAATTATAAATACATGTGCATCCCATATCGGGGCCTCTAATTTCAAAAACACTAATGGGCATAAGTGATCACATAGGTCCTAATACAACAATAGTGATTTCAGTGCTCTAGTTTAATCTTCAGATTGCTAGGTCATCCAAACTAAAAATCAGAGACCCCTCAGAGTTGAACACTAGAGGTTAAATGGATTTTACAATGCTAGAGAAATATGCCAAGCACTAGATAAAACTACACATTCTTCTCAGCAGCTCTAGGACATGACATTCTAGGACATGCAGCAAATCCTAAGAAATAGATAATCAAAATAATTTTCTTTTATCTCAAAGAAGATAGCAAGGGAAACTACACAAATAAGAGTAAGCAATAGCTTTCTGAGTGACCAGCGGGCCACTGAAGAAATCAGGGAGGAAGGTTAAATTCCTAGGATCATAGGAAATGAAAGTACAACTTACCAGTCTTTGGAATGTAGCTAAGGCAGTTCTAAGAGGAACGTCTATAGCAGTAAATGCTTACATTATAAATCCAGGAAGAGCTCAGATGAGTAAAAGCAATTCAAACAGAAAAACAGTAGATGGCAAGAAGTAATGAAGATCAGGGCAGAAGCCAGTGAAATGGAGAAAAATATGTAGAATCAAGCAAGCCAAGAATTGGTCCTTTGGGGAAAAAAAATGAACTAGTTACACACACACATCACACACACACACACATCACACACACACACACACACACACACACACACATGAGAGGGGAAGGGTGGAGGGGGAGAGGGAGGGAGAGAAGGAGGGAGAGGAGAAACCAAATCAATAAAATTAGAGATATAAAAGGGGAAACAGGAGTAGATGCTAATGAAATACTATCACTTAGTGTGATTTGAAAACATTAAAAAAAAAAACCTGGAAAATCTAGAAGAAATAAATAATTTCTAGATACACATGACCTACTAAAATTAAACCAAGAGGACACCTTAATATTCATAACAGGTGCCACGTGGTGGTGGTGGTGCATGCCTTTAATCCGAGCACTCGGGGGCCAGAGGCAGGTGGATCTCTGTGAGTTCGAGGCCAGCCTGGTCTACAAAGCTACACAGAGAAACCCTGTCTCAACAAAAACAAAACAAAACAAAACAAAATCTTAACAGGCAATGAGAGTGAAGGAATAATAATAAGTCTACCCACAGACAAAGGCCCTGAGACCAAATAAACTCCCTGATGGAATCTGTCAGATTTACAAAAGTACTCTACAGTTATCTGAAATAGGAAGGGAAGGAGCATTCCTAAACTCATTTTACAAGGACATCGTCATCCTGAGACCAAAGTTAGATAAGGATACACACACACACAGACCACACACATACACACGCACATGTCACACTAAACCACTCACACACACACACACACCACTCATACACACACACACACACCACGCACACATACACACACTCACACACACACACCACACACACCACACACACACCACACACACCACACACACACACCACACACACCACACACACACCACACACACCACAAACACACATACACACACACCACACACACACATACCACACACACACACCACTCACACACACACACACACCACACACACCACACACACACACCACTCACACACACACACACACCACACACACCACACACACATACACACACTCACACACACACACCACACCCCCCCATCACACACACACCACACACACACACCACACACACACACACCACACACAACACACCACATACACAACACACACAACACACACCACACACATACACACACACCACACATACCACACACACAACACACACACACACCAGACACACACACCACACACACCACACACCCACACACACCACACACACACACACACCACACACACACTACACCACACACACACCACACACCACACACCACACACCACACACACTACACACACACACACCACAGCACACACACACACAACACATACACACCACACACCACACACACCACACACACACACACCACACCACACACACACACCCCACACCCCCCCCCCCCCCCCCCCCCCCCCCCCCCCCCCCCCCCCCCCCCCCCCCCCCCCCCCCCCCCCCCCCCCCCCCCCCCCCCCCCCCCCCCCCCCCCCCCCCCCCCCCCCCCCCCCCCCCCCCCCCCCCCCCCCCCCCCCCCCCCCCCCCCCCCCCCCCCCCCCCCCCCCCCCCCCCCCCCCCCCCCCCCCCCCCCCCCCCCCCCCCCACACACACACACACACCACACACACACACACACACACACAACACACATACCGCACACACAACCTACACACACACCACACACACACACCACACACACACCACACACACACACACACACAACACATATACACACCACACACAACACACACGCACAACACACACACACAATACACATACAACACATACACATACACACCACACACACACCCTACACCACACACACACACCACACACACACCACACACTCACACATACATACCACACACACACACTACACCACACACACACACCACACACCACACACCACACACACTACACACACACACCACAGCACACACACACACAACACATACACACATACACACACACCACACACCACACACACACCACACACACCCCCCCCCCCCCCCCCCCCCCCCCCCCCCCCCCCCCCCCCCCCCCCCCCCCCCCCCCCCCCCCCCCCCCCCCCCCCCCCCCCCCCCCCCCCCCCCCCCCCCCCCCCCCCCCCCCCCCCCCCCCCCCCCCCCCCCCCCCCCCCCCCCCCCCCCCCCCCCCCCCCCCCCCCCCCCCCCCCC